GGAGGACGGTAGAATCTGCTGGTTTTATTGAAGTTGAAACTCCAGTTCTTCAGGTACATAAGAATTTATGCTAGTATGAATTGCTAGATTAGGTTTTGTTTAGCGGTCACTTCCTCTCTTGAAGCATTGCGTGTAGATAAATGGGAGAAATCACTTTTTGTTTGATTTCTCTTTGATTCATAATCATGTTAGTTTTGGGTCTGTTATGCTAGGTGCATCCACATGCTTTGGGTCTATTAAAAAAAGTTACATGCCATTTAGGAACTATACCTAGAGAAAAAGATGCTCTCCAATGCAAGTGAAAGTGGATTGGGTCCAGCTGACGTGGCAGCAAGAAACAGAGACCCATTGTGCCCTTAAGCCTATTTTGAGACACAAGTAGAGACTAGAGACCTAGTCTCTTTGCATTGAAATGGTTTTTGGCTATTTTTACTTGGATTTATATATGTCATTCAAGACTTGGGTTCATTTATATGCCACGTAAGAAAGATTGGACCCAAAGCAGTGTGGGTGCTAACAATTCTCTTTCCTTTCAATGTCATTTTCCTTTTTTATTTTTCTTGGTTGGGTTTTATTTGTAATCTCTTCCATCTCTGAGGTTGAATAAGGAAACAACAGACTGCATTCACCAGAATGTGTTGTGTGTATATATATATTTCTTTAGTCTCAGTTATTGGTTAATTCTGTATATTAGGGTGCAGCTGGTGGGGCCGAAGCTAGGCCATTTATTACATACCATAACTCCCTTGGGCAAGATCTTTATCTGCGAATTGCAACTGAGCTCCATTTGAAGAGAATGCTGGTAATTTTAATTTTCTTGTCAGTTTTACACGATTTTTGCTTCCTCAGTGATAATATGCACGAGCTGAAGCTAGGCCGATCGATAGGTTAGTGATTTTTCTTATCATTGTTGTGCATCATGTTGCATTATTATTTATTGCCAATCGATAGGTTGGTGGATTTGAAAGAGTGTATGAGATAGGCAGAATATTCAGAAATGAAGGCCTTTCAACTCGCCATAATCCCGAGTTCACGACAATCGAGGTGAAATGAGTTCTTTAACACCGTCTCACTATTTTCCAGAGAATTAACCAGGATAAGATATAGTTCACGGTTCACCAAATCACATGCCTACCTTTTATCACCATTAATTTATGCTGTAGAGAATTCCATAATGATAGTGACCGATTATTTCTATGTGTGATAATCAGATGTATGAAGCATATTCGGACTATGAAAGCATGATGAACATGGCAGAAGACATAATCACACGTTGTGCTCTTGCAGTTAATGGGAAACTCACCCTTGATTATCAGGTATGCCTTTTTGATTTTTTTTAGGACTTGTAATCCGAAATGTCAGAGGCAGAATGTACATGGCATAAAGATGTATCTCTGACATGATTTCTTAAAAAAGTTAATCATTTCGGTTTTTCCTTAAGGAAAAGTGAATCTTTTCTGTTGATTGTTTGTTGCAGGGGACAGAAATAAGCTTAGAGAGACCATGGAGGCGGGAGACAATGCATAATCTAGTGCAAGAAGCAACAAGGATTGATTTCAATGAATTTGGTGATGATCTTACCACTGCTAAACAAGTCGTTTTGGAAACCCTGGACATTTGTCGTGATAATCAAATCAAGAGTTCGATCGAAGCTTGCTCATCTGTCGGCCACATGCTTAATGAGGTTAATCTAGCCATTCCTTTTTTGTTTTTTCCTAATAGTTATAGTTTTGTTAATATAAGCAAAATACTGTGTATGAATCAGGTTTTTGAGTTGGTGGTGGAACCACAGTTAGTGCAACCCACTTTTGTTTTAGACTACCCGCTTGAAGTATCCCCGCTAGCCAAACCACATAGAAGGTGCAAGAAACTGTCCTTTTTAGTTAGTTTGTTTGTGTGTTTATTTATTTATTTATCTTTTAAATGTGGAGGATGAGTTGTGAATAAATTTTGAGTTTGAATAATTTCTATATTGTTTTTTTCAGTTTCTTAGTTTTCCATATGATTTTCAGACGTGCAGGATTGACTGAGAGATTCGAGCTGTTCGTATGTGGTCGTGAGATGGCAAATGCTTTCTCTGAACTGACTGATCCTTTAGACCAGGTAAGCATTGAGTTTTGTGATTTTTTCAGGAGGTGCCGGTATTTTCTCTATTATATATACATATATGTTGAGCAGTATTGTTTTGTTACTTTTGATGTGGCTGCTCAGAGGGAACGGCTGGAGGAGCAGGTGAGGCAGCACGAAAAGAAGAAGTCCGGTTTAGTTTTGGATAAAAAAGAAGATAAAAGCAAGGAAGTGAATGATGAGGCATATGATGTTACTCTTGACGAAGACTTTGTAACAGCTCTGGAATATGGGATGCCCCCGGCGTCTGGTTTGGTATGCCAATGCCGCTTTATTTACTAAAAAGATTGAACTTTAGCGCATATTATTGGCTTTTGTGACCGACGGTTTTTGTAATATCGTTAGGGGCTTGGCATCGACAGGCTCGTGATGCTGCTCACCAACTCTGCGAGCATACGTGATGTCATTGCATTTCCTGTCCTCAAGACCACTCCTCAACACTGATGATATCTATCATTTTTTTT